ACTTCTGTTCAAAATACAGATGCCTCATATGGTTCAAACTTGTTGTTGACTCACCGCTTCACAGTACTTGACCTTTACAGCCGAATATTTCACCGGCAATCGAATGCCCATAGAGTAGCATATTAACGATTAATGTCTCAGTTATTATTATTGCGATGTTGCCTCGTATTGACTTGTGGTTGAAATAGGCTGTGTTGGTTGAGAACTTGCCTTTCAGTCTTGGTCTTAGGAACATGCAGTCCGCTCGGTACCTCCTTGTCAGTGGTAGTATGGCGGATCGTGTTCCCCTTTGTAGTGTCGATCTCAAGGTGGCGCGTGCTCTGTGCAAACCGATTCCTAGTAGTCGTTCAGATAGGTTTTCTGCCGTTGCTTTGGTGTGTCGTTCTGTGGATACAAAGGACGGCCTCACAGGTACGTCTGCAAATCGTGCATCATCGTCCATTTGTCCAACTTGTTGGAAGAATCTCTCCCCATCGACTATTGTCTGCTGTACCATGCGCCATTTGTTCATTCCTTGCATGATTGCATCCAATTGTCTCAATTCAGCTTTGTTGGATCTTGGGTCATCTATTGGGTCTTCATGGACTATTGAGATTTTCCCAAGTTGTATGGTACCTGGGTTCCAAGGCACTTCAACTTTGCTTGTCATGTCAATGTGAGGGCAATTTGCGAGTTCTTGATCAGTTGCGGCCCTTGAATCAAATAGTAACTTTGTCCCCTTTGCCTTGAGTGCAACGGATATCGGCTTGGTTTTGATGCCAATATTCCTCATCTCATCAAACGGATTATCCCATAGGGGAATTCCAAACTTGCGGACTTGGTTTGGGTTGATCAATGAATGATCTAACCGGTTCCCATAGTAAAGTGCTTCGTTAAATATCAATATGAACGTGTTGCCGCTCTGTGGGCAGTCATAAGCGGTCGCCCCAGATAAAATTGGTACATTGGTTGGTGGTAGAGCTGGGTCGTACGCGTACACATCCGCCGATCTTGGTGTGTAGCTCATGATAACAAAGTTCTTGCCAAGGCAACAAGTGTTAGCGTTAGTACCATTTCATTGCTCGCCGTCGTTCCTGGTGTTGGTTGTTGCACTGGTCGCTGGGATGCGGCTGTGTTGGATGAGATCACCCTTACGATTTGTCTGATCTCACTTATCGCGTTTCAGGTCCTACCGCTTGCCTGTTGGTTGTTTGCCTGTTGGTTGCGTCCGCCCATTGCTGTAGTTCCAGTTGTTCCCATAGTCACTTGTGATATCTGCGTGGCTGCTTCGGCTGGAATTGTAGCAGGTACGTTGTTGGATCTAATCAATGCTACTTCGGTTCGCAATTCCGCCAGCTGCGTTTCCACTTGTTGCGTTTGTGCGGCTTGTCCTGTTGCTCTTCTTGCTGGCAATCCTTGACTTTCTCTGTATGCGGCGCCATGCGCTCACGTTGCTTGTTGGTAAACGCTTGTAGGTGTGTCTGAGAGAAACGGTAGCTAGGATGGTACCAGATCTTCTCTCCATTACTCAAAGTAATTTGTTGCCTCCTCCATCGTTTCGGCTTCTGCTTCTGTCGCGATCGTTGTCAGCCCTAGTTTGGCCCAAGTATCGTCCCCTATCGGTTGCATTGCTGCTTCCCTGGGGAAACTTTTCTCACTGCAGTTCGGTAGATTTGTAATGCCGTCGTGAAGGTCATCAACATTGGTCTTTTGCCAATTTCCGTATCAATTGCCATCTTATTCAGTTGTAGGAATGGTGCTGTAACCTTGCTTTGTAGGCTACGCAGTTTCATTGCGTCTGAATGGACTTCTCTCCCCTCATGTTTGTTGCATGCTGCATACGCTTTCTTTAGCATTTGTTCAAACATGGACCAGTTCATTTTTGGTTTTTTGCCAACGTAACACAGTTCTTGATGGTGTGTTTGGCTTTGACAATCTCGCTGGCTAGTATCCCTTCGCCTTCATAGTGGGTACGTAGTGCGTTGAATGCTTCTCTTCCATTGCCTGCAATGTTGATGGCTTGGAGGGTCGCTTCAGCTTCGGTATTCCCCACGATAAACTTGCTGAGAAGGACTAGTACTTTGGCGTTACCCATGACGTATGCTTCGCCAACGTGTGGTGCCATGTTGATGTAGATTTCCAAGAAATCTTCGTGCAGGGTGAGCATTCCTGCATTGTTCATTCTCACAATGTAGCTTAGTAGCACACCGTCTCTTCTGGTATGGTGCAAAGGTAATTTTTGAACGTTGGGCACCAATCTTCCCATTGGACATCGTTGGTGAAATCTTGCAGTAGTGCTTGTTGCGACATCAACTTGGAGCCATACACGTATTGTTTGTGTGTTTTCATGCGTCTGAGCAGTTTGGCTGCATCAACAACGGGAAATGGCATTGTGGTAGGGTCTCATCCCATGCGAATCTCGTCTCTGCACCATTGGATGAATGCGCGGATGTTCTTTTTGATAGCTGGCATCAAGCGTATCTGTCCTTGGGCAATCGTCAATCCTGTGAGGGTCTTGAACTCTTTGTTTAGTTTGTCAATGGTGCTGTCCATTGTTGTGGTGAAATTGTCCAAGAATATTTTGTAAGCAATTCTCTCGGCTTGTGTGTGTCCTTGGAAGAGGGTGACATTGTCAATGCCACAGATGACCATGTCGTCGTGTACAGTGAAGAAAGGAGGAACAGCGGCCATGTTGCCTGTATCAATGTCATACATCAAATTGTTAGTTCACATTTCTTTTATTTGTAACAGTTTTTGTTGGTGTTGTTCAGCACAATTTGTGGCAGTTTTTGTTGGTGTTGCTCAGCACCATCATTTGTGACAGTTTTTGTTGGTGTTGCTCAGCACCGTTCATCATAATGTTCATAACATTTGATGTCATTTTGTATTTGCGATCATGTTCATTATTACGTTCATAACGTTTGATGGCATTGCATTTTGATACATTTTGATACATTTTGATACATTTTGATACATTTTGATACATTTCAATACATTTCAATACATTTCAATACATTTCAATACATTTCAATACATTTCAATACATTTCAATCAAACGTATTCTTTTTTGTTTTGTTTGTCGGATAACTTTTGGCAGTTATTGCTGGATCTGATAAACCATATAAATGTAATTGTTATGTTATTACCAGGGTGTTGACTTACGACGTAGTAGATGTTATAGATAGTAATGTAGATCAAATTGTATTCTTTGAAAAAGAGTGTTGTTATTGACATTTCATCAACAGGCTTCCGCAAAGGCCAATCCCGTTCACTTACGGACACGAACCATTGCATGCGTGTGCAACAGCACGGTAGCCTTCATTTGACATTGCATAAAACTCAAAAATCAAAACCAAAAGGTAGAAAATATTTTTCCACTGTGTCAACGTTTCACAGGCTCTACAAGAAGGCTTGGCGGCAGGAGGTTTTTGGGAATCAGGCATTTACCATCTGGTCCTCTCGCACAGCGGAGCACTCTGGTCAGGAAATATCCAAATGCCCCGGCTGGTGGGCGGAAGCCAGCATGGACCAAGCCTCCGATGTTCACTCCTACAACGACATTGCTGTGTTCATCCTGACTGGCCTGAAGGCGTATGACCCATCACTCGGCGTTTTGATGCCCCAGCTTTGGTCCAGCATGCAGAATCTGTTATCACTTGGAGACCTTGAAGATGCCAATGATGATGAAGGCTCCTGGGCCCTTTGCAAATACTTTCTTCGTCTTGCGACTCAGTGCCCCACGGTTGTGTTTGATCTCGCAACGGCCCAACACGTTATCACTACTGACAAAAAGTCGCCTCGCTTTTGGGAATTCTTGCTTGTGTTCGACCCAACATTAATTGTTCAACGCGCCAAGCTGTTGACTTGGATGTGGCTAGCGGCATCCAAAACTCATCGCTCATCCTTGGACAGGCTCTGGTATCATTCCTCCCATTGTAGAGGAATTCAAGCAACTAGAACGAGAGTCAAAAATAGCCAAAGCTCTGTCCAAGTCTAAAAAGCGCCTTGCATCGACGCCAGAGAACCCATACGGCGCCTGGTTCCGAGATTTTGCAGTCAAGACGAAAGCGTATGCTGCTATTGCTAGCACCGATACTGCTGCTCAAAACAAGTTCAAGGATGATATCTTTGAAGCCGTTCTGGCAACAGGATTTCTATGCA